GCCACGTACACTATAGAATATGATTATATAAATATACACATATATTATTATATATATGAAAAAACAGATGAACAATGATTAAATTGTTTCACTTATTCTGAGAGTACTCTATACAAAATAGATCAAAATGTGCAGCATATGCCGTGACAGCATTACGTGACGAACAAATAACGGCTGTAAGATTGTGCCGCGCCGACACGCTTATCAGCAATGGTAAGCAATCGATCAAACGCAATATTTTGGCGAAGCGTAAAGCAAATGACTCAGCCGTTTTAGACTTAGATGCAGTGATGTTCATAAGCGCAGAAAGATAGTCACAGAATCATAGTATTCGACCAATAATAGGTTGACAGTAGGCGATGTTCTCTCGATTTGTTGACTTGTATGAACGCTTGAAAGTGACACAACAATTGCAAACAGGTTTTGTTATTTGTGGTAACTCACGAAGCTAGATTTTCAACGCATAAAAGAAATGTTATGATTCAGAACTCAAGACCAAGCTCAAAATGAATCAAAGTGGCTATGAGCCACTCAACTTGGAAAATGGATCATCTGTAAACAGTGACAATTTTGATGCCACTGACTTGAGGTTTTAATCCGTAGGTTAACTTAAAGTCAAAGCCCACTGGCATCGTTACGAAATAGTGTAAAACGCAATTATAAGAGAATACACGAGGAGATGTAACACTGTTAAAAACATTCATGAAGTTATTGGTCCGAGAGACCGAGTCATCCTCGTCCGAGTGACCGAGACAATTATAAAGAAAGTACCGCTTCTTGTCCGATCACCAAAGCAAGTAATAATTCTGACTCATTTCCATTCCTCTCATTTTTTTCGTTTTTTTAATTTCCCAGCCAGTATCAGCGATTTTTTTCTCTGTATGTTACCTTTTCTCATCTTAGAAATTAAAAAAAAAAACGCGTCCAGCGCAAAGTCACTATACCACAAGGAGAGCACCACATCTCGTCTGCTCAGCAAAGTTAAGCCCTGTTTGTATTTGGATGGGTGACCAAATACGAATACCCTGTGTGGTAATTATTTCTTCTGCGAAACTCCCAGCCTTGTGTAATGTCGTTTATTCTAGTTATCAGCTATTTGGTCCCCATTTCTCCATGTCCGTATTTATGTGTATTTATTTACAATATCGTATAAATAAACAGCGGAACATATTCGAATTCTCCTCAATTCTCTTGATTGTTGACCATCTAAAACATTTCATCACGGCTTGAATCATTCTAAAATTCATACAGCTCGTCCATTTTGTGACTTTCAATGTCTTCTTTTTTGGCAATCGAGTATGGTTAAACCTGTATGAGCGGACATCTTCGGGAAATGAGCTATTTATATAATTACAGGTAGCTTCTATTTATAAAAACGTTTGTGTGAAAATCTATTCAATGTAGAGTATTTCTACGGTAAGATATTGAGTAGATGCGTCAGAAATTCAAATAATAGCTAACTTGACCAGGTGCAAGCGACTGTAAAATGGCCTCAAACGGCGGATGTTCGAAACCCGGGGGAACTCCAAAATGAAAAGGTCGGGGATGCTCGTCGTCTCGGGTACAAATCAAGGATTCTGGTCTCATTTAGGGTGTTGAAGATGAAACCTCTCAAAGTATCCTTTAGGATGCACTCGAAGAAATAATAAATAAAAGAAACGCTCTTATTTAATTTCTGTTTTTAGGCTTGATTTCTGCTGATCTCTCGAGTACGCGAGTCGGGTCTACAAGTGCGCGCAGGATCCTTCTTGAACAGTGGCTAGTAATCGAACCTATTCCGTTTTAAGTGGTATCTTTAAGGGGTTTAATGAAGCTCGAGCAGCTCCCATATTAGTCTCCTTTAGGAGTTAAATTCAAAATTTCCGACAAGCATTCCTGACCTTTTCATATGGGGGTTTCAAATGTCTAACAAGAAGTGAAGGAGTGCTGGAGTGAAGTGATGGAGTAAAATCTCTTCACCACTACAACTTGGAAAACAATATTTTCAAAGTTAAAAAAGACCTACCTTTAAGACTAAAAGTAGGGGAAAAAAGTGAAACTCTCCATGCCACGAACAAAATTGCGCTTAGCTCTCACACACAAACAAATAAATAAATAGATAAATAAATAAATAAATAAATAAATATCTCGGCTCATGACAAAGTGTTGCTTACACTCCACATAAGCCACACAAAAAGGTATCGTTACTTACAGTAAACCACCAGTGTTTCTTGATTTTCATCATTTCCTGCTGAGTTGGTGGCTTTACAAGTATACTGTCCATCGTCAGTTCTGTTTATACTACTGAACAGCAAAGATACTTTTTTCGTCCCTGAAGTTATTCCTTTTCCATTTCTGAGCCATTGTACATCTGGGTCTGGTGTCCCTGATGCTGTGCAGATGATGTTAACCACTGATCCCTCATTGTAACTTGATTGTACTTGGGATATGATAATCCGTGGTGCATCTGCAAAAAAAATTAAAATGGTTTTGAATAAAGTTGCATCAGCCACTGAATTTGGACAATACACCGCCTGTAAACAGTGGCAATTTTGAGGCTACTGCACTGAGTTTGTAATCCATAGATCAAACTGTATATCATTTATCATTCACTGGCATTGTTAACAAATAGCGCAGAACACAAAGGTGACAGAATACATAAAGAGACGTGACATCGCGGAGAATATTGATGAAGTCATCCTTGTCTGAAACATTATCACAAGGAAAGTACCGTCTCTTGTCTAATCACCAATAAATAATAATGAAAAAATGTAACCTTTATTTACCCTCGGTGGCAATGCTAAACCCTACCAACTAGGCGTGGCTAGTATCTCAATGTATTAATAACCCTGCAGAGAACAAGTGCAGCCTTGCTCGAAACAGCCACATGTTTTTTACCCGAGCAAACGGTGCAGGCCTTCGTTTCCTCTAGAATACTTGATGAGAGAGGTTTTTCCCAACGAAAATGTATTAAGCTTTCCCTCACTTGAATATGATCATCGAAAAGGCTCAAAAGAAGCCACCGTGGCTTCGTTGAAGAATCAGCAAAAATGGCCAAAAAGTCCAACACGGCAGAATCCGGACAGTTTTTCCGGACAGTTTTTTTCTCCGAGAAAGAACCTACCCTGCTTGAGATTAAAGAGCTCTCGATTAGCATCTAAGCTGCAGTCTGCAGTCTGCAATCTCTCAAGAGAAGCAGAGTCTTAAATGTCTGCGAGCTTGTGGAATTGAAGGACTCTCTGTTGTTTGACGAGAGGCGACTGAAAGCAATCAAAGATTCCCTCACTACAAAGAGAGCTAGAAAAAACAGACAAAGAAAGAACTAGAGAGAATTGAAAGAGGTTCGGGGCGTCTTCGATGACCTCAAACGATAAACTCCAAAATATTCTTTCGAAATGGATTATCCACGAAATACCTGAACAGGCCTACTCTGACACAAAAAGCGTTGTTATTAAACATCGCGAGTGTGCTCAAAGTAAACA